CCCCCGTGGTGCAGTGGGTTAAACTGCTGAGTTGCTGAACTTGCTGACTGAAAGGTTGATACTTCAACTCCAGGGAGCGGGGTTAGCTCCCACTGTTAGCCCCAGCTTCTGCCAAGCTAGCAGTTCAAAAACTTGCAAATGTGAGTAGATCAATAGGTACCGCTCCATCGGGAATGTAACGGCGCTCCATGCAGCCATGCTGGCCACATGACCTTGGAGGTGTCTATGGACAACGCCGGCTCTTTGGCTTAGAAATGGAGGGGAACATCACCCCCCTGAGTCAGACTCAACTAGACCTAATGTCAAGGGGAAACCTTTACCTTTACCTTTCTAGAACCTGCAAATGTGAAGGGCTGACTTCATATAGAGAGAATCAAGCCCCTTTCCCTTTGCTCACAGGTGGGGAGATGACGTCCGTGGCCCATTCACTTCACGATGGAGTTGAAACGGCTTTCATGCAACTCAATCAGGTAGGGAAGTGAATCGGTCAGAAGAACAGGTAAGATCGTGTCTCTGGGTATTTCTCTGGGCCCATTCCTTTCCATTGGGAGTGTATTGTTGTCCTAGTGAAAGGGGTCAATGACATTAAATACAGTAATATGAGAAAATCCTTATATTTGTGGGACCAGGACTTGTGGTTTCGCTAACAAATAAATCCTCTCTAGGGATTTTCTAGGCCTGACTGTATAATATGCTTCATCCGAAGTATTAGTCTTCAGTATTATCATTATTCAGTATTATACAAGCAATATATTCATTTCCAAGCAAATCCGGCTTGTGAGTGATCATTTAATATTGCTATATAAAACCTACAGTCTTACATTAAGACACTACTGACTTTTTCCCACCACCACTTCCTTTTATACACCTTTCCTGCCCACCTCCCCCCTCTTCTCAGTTTCCTTATTAGAGCTTATTGCTTCACAAGTTCCAATACAAGGTTTCCAGCGTCCTCTGCTGGCTTCAAAATGTCACAGAGAGAACACTGAGGCAGCCAGGATGATTCAGTCAGGATGTCACGGAGGGAATTTGTGATGTCTTCATGCCGTCAGAAATTGACTCCTGACATCTGTGTTTTCAGGCATTATTTATTTACTTATTTATAGTACTTATATTCCGCCCTTCTCACCCCGAAAGGGACTCAGAGCAGATCACAGAACACACATACGGCAAACATTAATGCCATTATACATTGACAAGACAGACACCTGTACGTAGATAGAGGTATATATAGGCTTTCTCATATTCGGCATATTGGAGGCTTGTGCTTGTTTCTAGCCACAAGGGAGTGCTGTCGCTCCATCTTCCTTGCTGAAGAGCTTCGTTCATAACTTCCTCCTTGATCGAATTGCTGGTATTTTTGTGGCATTTCCTAAATACCTCCCGCTTTAAAGAGGAACCTATTTATTGTGGTAGGATAAAAATCACACATAGTTCACGTTTTACCAGTCCACACACTCTTGCCAGAGAAAGAAAATATGCCACACAAATTATCAGTAAAAAACCAAAATTTTTACTTGTTGTAATGCAGAGCAACATATATACAATCATGAGAATAGTTGCGTTGACTCACACAATGTCTTTTGAGAGAGATTCAAATGGTATCTCACCCCACGGGTGAGAAAGGAGATATATAAATACAGTAAGTAACTATGTAAGTATTTAGGTGTCCATGTGGGGGATCTTCTTCCAGCACCTCATGAAGCTAGAACGGTCTCTCTCTGTAAGCTCCTACACACGTAAAACCTAAACATGTAACTGTTGCCAAAACTCCCAGGCTCAGCTAGCTCGTTTGGCAATGGGACGATGGGACATACTGCCTTGGAGTCTGGTGGAGTCTCCTTCTCTGGAGGTTTTCAAGCAGAAGTTGAATGGCTATCTGTCAGGAGTGCTCTGATATTGTATTTCTGATTGGCAGGGGGTTGGATTGGCTGGCCCTTGGGGTATCTTCTAGCTCTGTGATTCTGTGATTCTAATTACCAAACAGTAATATAAATAATCATCAAACACATACAAGACACACTCAAGAACTTTATTTACTGTAGTTGATAGATGGGCAACATGGAGAAAGAAAGAAAAAACATGGAAGAAATCCGCAATATATGATCATGGTTGCAAGATTACTCTATGCACAAAAATGGAAAGCTCTTGAAGAAGCATTACATTGCAGAGATGGATACAGGCAGAAGCTAGGGCTGGCAGCGAGAGCTCACCCCGACCCATGGCTTTGAATTGCCAACCTTACGGTCAGCAAGATTTTCTGCAGCTGGCGGTTTAAACCGCTGTGGGAACAAACTTACAGAATCAATCTTGTTTATAACTTGGGGATTGCCTGTATATGAAGATATGGGTATCCCCAAATCTGTAAACTCTTGGTCCTTCACAAAAAGCAAGTTTCACTTTGATTATTTGTGGTTTTGATTAATTATGTTCTCTTTAGGAATTGATAAGTCCTCCAGTGCAACGCCAAGTCGTGGAGGAGGACATAGAAATTCTCCAGGTGCTTGTATATCCTCCAGATGGTGCAAGATTTTCTGAAGGACCTAGACTAGGCCTGGGCCAACTTGGGCCTTCCAGGTGTTTTGGAC